TTCCCACTATGTTTCCTCTCAGAAGAGCCATTGGTCACGTATATTGAAGGATAACAAATTCTTACTTTTCCTATTTTGTGCAATCAGCTGAGCGCACCCAGCAGAAATCAAGCCTCAAGCTAAAACTGTACTATTGCACCAGTAAACACTAAGTGTTATTTGAACTGCAGATGCTGGAAAATACCAGTGCTATTTCTTCTGAGAGATTTGTAATCTAATGAATTAAAGTAATTTTATTATTCTGCAGCCACACGTGCAATTTATGTGCTGCAGAATGATAGCCTCTAATAGCAACCCCAGTAAAGAGAAACTAATAAAAAGCTCTGCTTTATGCTTTCCAGAAAGCAGACACTACATTGACATCAAAACAGCAAGTTTAAAACTAGAGGGCAAGGGGTTTATTGTGTAATCTTCCATCAAGCTAAACACTGTCTGGGTGCACCATATGATTTTTCTTCATCAAGACTGTTGTCATTTTGCTATGCTTTCCACTACTTTCCTCTTTAAAGTGGTTAATTTCATTACACTCCAGAAGTGAGGGTTAGGGAGTAGGAGTTTGAGGAGGTGGCATGAAGATAATTTTAGAAAACAAACTGAGTTTTCTCGTGAAAGATTTTGGCAGCAAAAATTAAGAAACCAGGTTGCTTATGACAAATTGACCCCATTTTCCAACTCAAATACAACTTTATGTTAACCTCAAAACAGAGTCATTAGGAAATAAAAACCATATTTACTTTTGCATAGCAAAACCGAGAAACATCAATACGCTTGCAAATTTACTCCTTTTAGAAATAAACATTTCTCAGTAAGGGCTGGGAAAGGGCACAAAAATTGTTAGAACTTCTGCTACAAGTATTTTGCCATACTTGGATGATAACAGAAGTTTGCATTTTAGGAAATTATGTTTATAGCAGTTTCACCAGAAAAAAAGATCATAAATTCTTATTGGCACCCCATCTGCACCCACTTGCAGCTTTTTATAGGGAAATTATCTGGAAAAGAAGATTTATAGGATCAAGATAGCGTACCTGAACATCAATCCCCTCAGTAAATAACTTACTCCCAAGATGCTACTCCTTTTTAAAAATAATAAAACCATTCAGGTTTCTTTCAGGGATTGTTTGCCACATCTATCACTTTTTCCAATCAAGTCCAACACTGACTCTGCTTTTGTTGTTATCACCTGTTTCCTGATAGAGGAGAACCATGGGGGGGGGAAATCCAAAAACATACTAAAGAACCAAAAAACCCCAAACTCCTCATAAAACTCAGCCATCTCACTTGTTCAAATATTCATTGAAATGAACAAAACCTGAAATTTCTCTTTTTTATTGTGCAAGTATGACCCATTCTTTTATAGCTTCAGTGAAGCCTCTCTGGTATGGTATCTTCATGTTTATTAATTATGTCTGTAGACTGTGCATAGTTGGTGAGATTTTAATAATGACAGCCTATGACAAAACTAGTAGGCAAGTCACTGCTTTTGAAAAATATCATTTATGTTTCTTTAACAACTTCTGCTCCCTACTAAACTTTATATATCCTATTTTTTTCATTTCTCTATCATATATACACAGCAAAACAAGATAATATTTTCTGCTGTCATCATTTCTACTGATGTACTTTAAAAAAATTCAGTGTTTCTAGTATTTGGTGCATAAAAAAACTCTCAAACATTTAATAATGTACAGTCCTTAAACAGGGAAAAATACTCAGTGCTTTGTCCTATAGCTCATCATCTCTTCATTTGTCATCATACTCTATTTATTTTCCTTTTAGCCAATCTCCTTGGATACTGAAGAGAAAAGGAGCTGCCAATAATGGCAAAATAGTCATAAATCCTTACCAAATATGAGCCAAACCTGAACCACACTTAAAATCAAGCATTTCTCTAGGCCTTTACAATGTAAGTGAAGTTCCAGTTACCAACAGGTGATTAAGTATCCTGTAAAACAAGTAGTAAAATAGGTTCAATCTTTAATCTCCTTTGAGAAATCCCTGCAGAAAATAGTGACCTCTATGTTTAAGACTTTATTTTTAAAGCATTTTTTATAATTTCAGTAGAATTTAAATTCACACACTTAGAATTCTAGTGCATTAGGAAGAATCTTGATGACCCCTAACAGTCTCAAACTGTTAGACTATAAAATTAACCAACTTCTAGTGTGTTTCAATAGGATTCATTTGATTTCATTTGTCTTGCATCAAAATCTGCCTTCCACCCTAGCAGCCACAACTTGGGCTGCTAAACACTACAAAAGACACTTCCTCACAGGAAGAGACTTCTAGAAAAAAGTCAACATTCAACATTATGCATTTCTAACTACATATGTGCACAATGTAGAAGATCACTGGTAGCGTAGAAACATTCTGTGGGTCTCATCCTGAGGAACTATCCATAAATTTCACAAGAAGTATTGTTGAAGTTAAATTTGAAGTTATACAGATATATAAAGAAGTCACACAATACAAAATAATAGCTATCCTAACAGTAGTTAATGTTGTCTAATGCTGTCTAATATTTTGGAGTGCCAAAGTCTTGAAAATTTCAAGTAAGTTAAATTTAACATCTTCACCCTGCCCAGCAAGCCACCAAATTTTATGAGCTTTTTCAGCATGTATTCTCAGCGTGAAGTTCCTTTTAAAAAGCAGGCAGACATATGTACCAGTTTAAACTAACAGAAGGATACACTTCTCTGTTTCACAAGAAAGTTCAGCTGCTGACAAACAAGGTGGCAGGGATAAGGTCTTAATTTGAGCAAGACAGTGTCTTTCCCATAGCCTTCCCCTCAGGCTGGAAATGTGAGTAACCTGTAACAATCAGCAGCACCTTCACAGTAAGTTTGTGCTGAGTTCCAATTGCACTCTGCAGTTACAGAAAGAAATATGAGACAGGCTATTAATTTATCTAAAGGAGATAAAGACAAATCTGAGCCTCAGACGGATAATATTCAGTAATATTCCCTCTCTCCTGGACACAGTGTTATTGATTCTTGGGGGCATGAGAGCAGTGCTGTCAAGTGGACAGAAAATGACTGAAGGCTATTTTTGCACTAGAGACACAGACTTGTGCCTTTTGACAGCTTTAAATAGTTTACATAGGCAAAATACCCAGAGAGGATATTGTTCTGCCTGTGATAAGTACATTTGTGACACACAAGCTATACTCCTCACATATGCTCCCTTTATGTATATTCCTTCATTTTTCACGATTGTCTCATTAAAAACACTTCTATTGAAACCATATCTGGAAGTTTCTACAATCCAAAGCGACATCATATTTTTCCCTGTTTGTTTTTTTTTTTTTTAATTTTTCTCCCCCGTGCTTTTTTCTTTTTTTCCCCTGTTTGCCATCTGGAGATCACAGACACCTGGACTAAAATACTTATTATGCATGCTGATCCAAAAGTACATTTGTGTCCTCAACAGGCTGTTGTAACTACCTCAGTAAAGACATTGCTTAGCACATGACAGTACATTTTCCCTCTGTAGCCTCTCACCAGTGGACAAGCTATGGCCTACACTGCAGAACAAAAATAACATGGAAACCTTGACCAGTAAGTGACTGTGGAGGAATACTCACAGCACTTCAGTGTTACTGCAATTGCCATCAGTAATATTTATTTGAACCTTGTGCCAAAGCCTTGAGTGCACCAAGAGTGCACAAGACTTCAACTGCCCCTATTCCACCTGAGACCTCCACCCACTTGGTCTAAGTTCACACCAATTCCATGATTAGAAAAAAAAACAAAAACCAAAACCAACCAACCAAAAAAGCCCTAATGAAGAAACTCCAAACCACAGGGGAAAGTCGTGACAGGTGACTGATCAGTTACAAATGCACCATTTACCAGGCAGTACTAATTAAGAAAAGCAAATTCTTCTGTGACAAATGTACTCAAGAATAACTACAATGAAATAAATCTTCCAGAAAGCTGAGTTTTCAGAAGAGAACAAAACAACTCAAATCATATTAAATTTTCAGCATACAACTATAAAGAGAGCATTTTGTGACACAGAGTTTGCAACCTCAGGATAAGAGAAATAAACATATTTAACAAAGAAAAGGTGTAAGAAAGGTGCCAAGGATCGAAAAAAGGCAGGTACAATCTGGGCAATAAGCAATTTTCACAGCATATGCCTACTTTTCATCTAGTACATAACTTAATTGCTTCAAAACTACTGTTACAGTGGAAAAGAAAAGCTCCTTTGAAGCTCTCCTGCTAAGCCTTCTTTTAGTCCTTCTGCAGCCATCCTCTCTTCAAAGGGGTTTTCCTCAGGGGTTTGGCTAAACAATGCAAACACTTTGGTGCAATTTATTCTACCTGACAGAGTTTTTACAGATAACTGCAAATAAGAGTCTAGTAGGATTCTGAAGCACTGCTAAGCCTCCAACTACAACCTCAAGTGTTCAAGTCTTTTAAATTCTGGCCCAGGAACAGAGACTCTTAAACTTGAGCTGGACTAAATTACCAAAAGTGATATTTAGCATATCAAATGACTGGATTGTCCTTCACCCACAGATTCTACTGCCCCCATTCTCTAAGCTCAAAATTTGTCTCAATTTTTCTTTATCTCTATGAATTTTAGCTATAAAATGAGAACTAATCTTACCTATAAGAAACCTAATCCTGAAGTAATGTTCTATGTGTTACACAATATATATATATATATATATATATATATATATATATGTCTTTAAACTTCAGCTGTCTTCAGGACACCTTTGAAACTAACAAGACATCAGTAAAAGGTAAGTTAATAAGTGCTCAAGATATACTAAGTATATTGAAGCATTTATTAAAGCGATATAACTAGGAATTTAATTTCAACTGTTTTTTAGTGCAACATTATAGATTTTTACATACTGAAGTTTAAGCTTAATGGGCTATATACTTTTCTTTTTCTCTCTGTTTTAAAAGACGAAATAACCACTTGATTCCCCCCCATCCCCCCCCCCCAAAAAAAATAAAAATTGCCAATTTAGACAGTAGTAAGCTGTGGAAAAGCTCTTCCAACTCTGGTATGCAGGCAGAAAAGGATGGTCAGTATCCACACCAATTCTGCATTGCTCAGCTCATGTCAGTACATCTTTTTATTTATCATAGTTAAACTACAGCAAGAGTACCTGATCTTTGCAAAAGATGCACCATATATCTTCTTGAGATCTGCAGCTGCTCATCACATCCAAAAACATCAGGCACAGGTATAAGTCCATAATTCCATCAGTAGGAGACTCTGTACCCTGGTTTGAGGAACATCTGGCAATATCAGTATCTGAGGGAGACCCAGAGGGCCCTAGGCCACCACTGGCATACTGCTTTGATTAACTCTTCTGTCCCAGAGAGGGAGGAAATTACAGATAACTCTAAGTTATACAGAAATCTAGGATGACTTAAGTCCTGGCATCCTTGCTACTTTGTGCCTTCAGAAGTAAACTGAATAAGTCCAAAAACCTCCTCTCTCTGAAAAGAAGACCAAAATCTGAATTAGACCTTTGCAACCACTTTTCCCTATGACCTTCCTAAGTTAACTGCCCGTCCTGCTAGAATACCTTCCATGACTCCTCCACAAATGCTCCTCAGCTGGTACCAGAACATCTCCTTTTACAGCAGCTGCTTCCTGGACTCTTCATCACAGCAGGAGATCACGAATCTCTTCATTAATCCTGCTATCCTGTCCTTCTGAAAGAAAGAGTCCAATGGCTTAGGAACACAATATAGAGCTTTTTGCAGATCCTGAGGAATCGAAATTAATTTCTCATGGGGTCATGTGAAAAATATTTTTAAAAGTTAATTTAAGCTTTCATCAGAGTGATTTAATGTTTCACCTCCTGAATAAACACTCTGTGAAGACCACAAAATAATTTTTTCAGTTGTTGGAGGATTAGACTTTGTTTCCATTTTCTTAGAGGATGTGCAGCTAGGTAACCTATGAAATGTAAACAGATTTTGTGCCCTTAACTGCTGTTAAAGGGCTTTACATATTTTTATGTAATTAAAGAAAACATTTATGCAACGGAAAAAATTGCAAAATTTTTAAAAAACATGTTTAAAATTATTTACAAGTACATGACATGAAAATATGTGAGTTGTTTAGTATAACTTCAAACAAATAGTATTTTCCTGATATGAATGACAATGCACTAAGCAATGAAATGATACATAGATATACCTTACATCAAAAGTAGTTTGTCTTCTAGAAATTCAGTTTCACATCCTTGAAACCTTTACCTTCAATTTCACAGTTGCTGCCATACATACAATAAAGTTTTGATGATAGATTATCCAATTAAAATTTGTAAAGGTACAAATACATTAACAATCAGAGCATTAAGCTGGGTTTTCCTGTAGCTGTAAATTGCTTTACTAGGGCCTATTTTTGATATTTCTTTTCAAATAATCACCTCAGAGAAATGAACCGATAGACTGCTAACTTTTTGTCACTTCTGAAATATCATTCTGGAAGTAATCACAAATCTTTGTGATCTATCTTTCTTCAGCATTCCTCTTCACATGTTCATGTCTTTTTTCTTCCCCTGAAACAGACATGAAATCATGAAACATACAAAGGCAATCGTTATTCATAAACATTCATTAGCTAATTAATTCCAGATAGTTCATGATCATTCATCAACAAATCATGAACTGAAGTGAAATGAACTATTCACAATTAGTTTATTTCTTCAGCATCTTCCACTAATTATTACAGGGTTGATTCCTTTTGAGTCATTCAGGTTAGCCTCTGTTATGATTAACAAGGATAGCATGCACTGTTACACAAATCAGAGTTCCAGAGAGTGAGAAGCAGAATGAATAACTTCAAGTTGCTTATTTTATCCTTAATCACTTATATATCATTATTTATATGCTGAAAATTCACCAGTATCAGAATGGTAGGAACAATTTCCCATTCTAAAATTAATACAAGAGAAAAACATTAAAATATTGTAGGAAATTATAGGTTTTAGTTCTGCCTCTCTTTCCTAAAGGAAAAGTAAAATTACGTTTGAGGGTTTTCTTTACAAGCATCTTAGTAAAAACACAAATGCCTAAATATAGGTGTATTTTTCTTTCTGAAAAGTACAGCTCACCAGCTGATGTTTTGTATTTACATGGCATATAAAGGAGAAAATGGAAAAAATATAAATGGAATACAGTATACATTTTTCCTAATTATATTAAAACTCAGCTATATGGTTTGGCTTTTCGTTTTCTTTCCTTCTCCACAAAATATGTCCATCATAATTTACTTCCTACATACTTATGGAAAAGCAGGTGGATTATACAAGGAAATAGAATCCCATATGTGCTATAAAGACCAATCTAAACAGTGTGACCAGAGTTAAAAAATACCTCAGGTTATTAAGCCACTTAAAAATAAAAATATAATAAGTATCTTTTCTGATAAGAGTTTGGGGACAGTGGTGAAATTTATTATTAAAAATTGTGAATCTATTTCCCCTGTTTTATATAACCATAGTAAGTTTCTCTTCAATACAATGGTCTGTCCCTTCCACACATACAGCAAAAATGGCCTTTTATTGTATCCCTATTTTCACTTATTTACCTTATTCATGTATACCAAACTGGGAATGGATAAAATCCTCTTTTATGGCCCTAAATATCCTCAGATTAAAATTCCCTAGAAATTATTTAATTTTTTTTCTGACTTACTAAGTTATTGCTCCTTGTAATTTTAAAGGCTGCTAACAAAATATTTTCTTGTCTCCTTTAGGAGCTACAGCTGTCTTTTCTGGGTACTGCCTGGAAATATTTTGCATGTTTAGAGCAATGTCTGGCTAGAGTCCTTCCTTTGTTAGAGAAGTTTTCAGATTTTATATAACTTAAGGCTCTTAAAGGCTTCCAAGGCAGAAGTGGGAAAGGCAGAACATCTCACTGAGTTGAATCCCTGCTGTTTGAATTGTTGCCTTGTCTTGATGGCTTATTGAGGCAAAAGTGGGTGTGAAGCACTGCTGAGTGCATGCTGCTTTTCACTGTGAGGAAAACCAGAGTGGAAAGGAAAATACAAGAGGGCATGTTCTGCATACTGCAATACGAGGGGATCAGGACTCTAATGTACCTCATGGAAGGCATCACTCCGCTTGAGAAAGCACTTGAGAGAAACCTCTCCTGTGCTTCTCATAGAAACAACTCATACATTTAAGATTAGAAATATATATTAGATTTTTCCAGAGATACAACAAAGCAGATTTTGACATGGAGTTTTCATGGAATTGCTATGTAATAAAGAAATTATAGATATTGTTGTTCTCAGATAAATAAAAATACTTGCAATTGCTACAACCAGAGAATTACCATTAGTAGTCACTAAATGTCAATATCATTAGAGAGCAGGGCCGTGGGCATGTAACATATTTTGATTATTGAAAAAGATATGGAAAGAGTTCCTACAGACATGCCCAACTTAAAGCAAAAGTGGGGTAATTTGGCTTGTTATAAATACCTTGCACCACAGGCTAAACTAAGGAAAATTGCTTTGCTGTGGACTAAGGTTTCTTGTTTACGGTTCCACAATCTGGTTTTCTATTAGTCAGGCTTTAAAGTTTGCCTCTGTTATAAACTCCAACTCCAATTGCTCTTGCTTCTATTATGAACCCCTAAACTTTTCCTCTGGCACCTTTTATATTTCTAAAAGTTTAAAGAAAATGTATGTGAAACTCATGTAAGGGGAAGTATGAGTTTCTAACCAGACAAGTGAGAAGTGTTGCTATAGTATTTACAAATAAGCATGCATACAGAGGCAGGTGGCACAGATCATGCAAATCTTAAAATCAAGAATTCTATGTGTCACCTAGATAATTTTTTTACCTTATGAAATCACATGCACACAAAACAATCATCAAAGGATGAGCTAGAAGAGAGCATAGTTTAATCCTAAATACCCAGTTTACACTTATTACATCAATGATTTAATTATAAAAAAGATATATGTGTGCAAAAGTAGCCTTGCATTCTGTTATCTTCATCAACACAGTTGCAACTTGGTATTTTTACCATTTTCACAATTTTATTCCACAGACATTTTATTTATAATATCTGCACTGCTCTAAGAATTCCACGTCACTATTTCTTTAAATAAGAATACTCTACGGGAAAATAGGGAATTGTTGCTTGGACTGTTCTAAAAAACCAAACAGGGCTGCTTGTTATTGGAAATATACCCTACCCAGAATGCTGCAAACAGGCAAGACCAGGAGACTAGGTAGGAATCCCAAAGGAGCATTCCATGCTTTGTGTGCATTCCATGTTTTCTGAAGCAATGCTTGATGCTTTTCTGTGACAATCTTGACTCTGATAGGCTTACAGATAGAAAAATTATATGCTGAATTGTGCACTTCTGACATAAGGAAAAATACATAGGTTATTAAGACAGGTTAAACCGAATCAGAAGTTATCTATATGCTAAAGAGGATCCCTTGATTCGCTTGAAATCTGACATTTTCAGGTCTTCAAATGTTTATAGTTCACTGATAGCTCAGTTTCTTACATATTCAAGTTTGGTTATGAAATATTAATTCTATCATTTTGCTTATAATTCCTAGTTGTAAAGCAGGATCCCCATAAATATTGTAGATAGATATAAAAAACAACCCCTGCCCCAAAGACCTTACAGGCCAACCATAAGAGAAAACAAATGGACAGAGACAGATGGGGAAAGAGAAGAAAATAATGAGATTTCTATGATGGATATAAGAAATGTAATCAGGTTGATCATTTACCCATGCACTGTAGTTTGTCATGAATATGATGTCACAGTCAGATTTTTCAGAGAAGTTCTGCATTACAGACCTTTTCTGTCTCCTGCTGTAACAAGGGCACTTCTGCCACTCAGAGCAACACAATTCAGGAGAAGTTACCTGCTCATTAATTGCTTACTCATGTACACTTTGCTTAAGTGTCTCTTGGAAATTAGCCAACTTCTGAGCACTCTCACAGTGGGAAGATAAGACAGAGATAGTGTTTCAAGCTTTTCCTACAATTCCGTTTTGTTAATGAAGCATCATCAGTTTAGTAACATTCTGACGACCGTGCTTCCTAAAAAGGAAAAGAGAGATAACAAAAGCATTTTATTTATATATAAATACATTATTATTTCATAATTTTCTCCTCCCTACATTGTTACTTTGGTTGCAGAAGGCTGAAATTAGCTCCTGACTGAAATAAATTTACAGGTCTTCATTAGCTCCTGACTGAAATAAATTTACAGGTCTTCATTTGTTCACTTATATCTAGTTATGTTTGCAAAAATTTGCTTTACTAGAAACTGAAGTTCTAATGATTTTGTGGTGTATTGAAGAAAATACATGAAGGATGGTTACGTCATCTTTGGTTTTGAGCATGAATCAAACTTAATCTCCACAGAAGAAACAATGATTAAGTTAAACAAGACAAAATATATTTGTCTTGTTTGTTTCATACTACATGCACAGGACATCTGCTCATCTAGAAAAAAGACAGTATTTTTTAAGATTAACAAAAATGCCATCAGGTGTCCAAATTAATCTATTGTGGTTTTTTGCCAAGCAGGAATAATTTTTTCTTATCAAACACAGACATCTGGGCCTGTAGTATGAATATGGTAAATCAAATAAATGGTTAAGCATATTTTCTCTCCAGAATTCAGATGTCTCTTGCACCTTAAAACATATATGAAACTCTCATTGCTTTCCAGAAGTGCAAAAAACAACACACACATGCAAATATGAATCAATAAATAAGGAAGGTTATTGACCATTCAATTAAAAAGGCACTTTGCATTAAGCATCTTCATAATCGTGCACTAACACTTGATATTTGAGGATAAAATTTTCCGATCCTTTTATTCCGAACATAGAGCAATTCACATTTAAAGCAGAACGTCCTTACTCATGTTAAATTATGACTGAAATGCAAGGTAGGACCGACAGAAATTGTGTATCTGCCCATGTGCTTTTATGGGAGGCAACGTTAAAGCACAACTGCAAAGCACAACTTCACTCTGGATAAAACAGGATAATACACTGGAAAGAAGACAGAGTCTTCGGTTATACAATCAGATACAGGCACAACAGTTTTTGATAGTCAGCAACTACCAATTCCCATGGAATATAGGAATGGAATGATGACACTACTCAACCTTACATTAAACTCCTTCTATGTTCAATCTCCTAGTATTCACAAAAGTACCTGGAATTCTTCATGGAAGTTACATGAACCAGTGAATTGTTCTTTTCATGCACAAACCCCTAGTTTTGCTTCTCTTTGCACCAACTGAGAAAAAGGATCAATTCACATCTGGCTGCACTGAATTAAATGTAAAACTACTAGTGCATTCAGTTGAAGATGTTTCACTTTAAAATGCATTTTCTTCTTTCTTTTTTTTTCCTCCTCACAGAAGAGCTGTCAAGTGTCTGAGAATAAAAATAATCCATATGTTTCATGTGAAGGAGCTAGAGCTAAGGTGGTGCAAATTGGGTAGCACCTTAGCTGCAATATCAACTGCAGGAAACATTCCTCTTGAAACACGCACTCAAGCCACATTCAGTTTTTCTTCAGCTTCAATTATAATTTCAGATTTGAACTACATAGGTACAGAAAAGGCTTCTGACAGTTATTATTAAAACTAATGTTCCTTTAGAATAGCCATAAATTACAGCCCAGCCATATTTCTAGTTTATTTTTTCAGCAATTTCCCCTCTCCCTTTTCTTCTTCTTCTTCTTTTCTTCTCCCATATTTTTCTTCTTTTCCTATTTTATCTGATGCTACCCAGAGGTGGGCTGGTCAAATTCACTTTTGCTGTGATATTCCTCTCTACACTGAAATTCCTGGCTAGTCGGCAAGCACCTTATATGTGTTGGCAAGGATAGCTTCACCAGGCAAGATAACTAGGAATTTGATGATTTCAATCTCACTGCAGGCTACTTAGTCCAGATTCAAACAGCATTTATATTTATTTTTTTATCATTTTTTATGTTCTTCACAGTTTTGCTTGTTACCTCTTAACCCATACTTCTCATTGTCAGAGACAGAATCAAAACATAGTACTGCTGTCATGTCCTCTGGAAACACTTGGTGAGTGACAGATAACCTCTGTGTGGGTTGAATTTCTGGATAGTGAAAAAAATGTTATTATTTCCATTAAATCAACAAATAACCTTGGGAAAGAGAAAGGTGTGAGAACTTGGTCCTTAATAATACAGCCATTTTGCTGAGTTGCAGCTAACTTTGTGTCCTTGCAGATAAGTAGCTGTTCTGAGAAGAAAGTGGAAAGGCAATATTGAGCATTTCTTTAGCACTTATAGAAAATGCTCCCAAATTATGTTTTCTTGTGAAGAACGGAGGTAAGATACATAATGTCTCTTTGCTTTCTCAGACACAGTTTTTTCATCACATTTTGTACTTCCTCTGATGCTGTCAAATGTGGTAGGTGTGTTTGCATTTTGGATGTCTCACAAGACTAAAAAATGCTTAACAAACAGCTTTCTTTTTGTGCTTCAAGCCTTGACTTTGATACTTAGGAAAGTGCCCGTAATTCAGAACTGGCTACCATCTGGCCTACCTAAGCTCAGAAAAACCTGTATTTAGCAGCTTTTTTTTTTAAATTAAGAGTTTTGGAAGGCTAAATGGCAGGCAAAACAGAGCTTTTGTTTCTATAATGAGAACCTCTGCGACAATAGTGCAGTACAAAATGGACAATACAGTAACAAATTTTTATTACTGCTACACTTCATGGATTGATTCATATCACAATTATACAGTGTACAATGCAATAGTCCAATGGAGCATAAAGTGTCCACAAATTCTGAAATATTTTGCTCTTACTAAATATGAACTAAAAATTTCCCTGCATTTTACAAGTATTTAAATCAGTAATATACAGAAACATTAAAAAAGAACCCTAAATTTATTATTGGTGTGATTTTCAGGGATGACTTTAACTCTGGTTTCCAGTAAGGAATGGTGGAAATATATTTTTCAATAATACATGGTTTTCAAACAGGCTATCATTCTACATGTCCTTGCAGACATTTGAAAGGTTACAAGATTTTACTAATTTAATTTTAGAGAGATCAATTTTATATCAGAATGTATTTTGAAGTATTTGGAATCAGTTCCATTTATCTTCTGACTTTATAGGTACTATCCAGCTGTGTTATGTAGGGCTCAAATAGCTTCAAGTGCTTCAAGAAATCTAATAAAAATTGTGCCGTTTCAAAGGAAAAGTAGATCTTACAAATGTGTCATGTACTTAATCTTAAGAGCCTCTAAATGTTTCACATTCTGAGTTGCTTGCTTCTAAAAACCTAAAAGAGAATATAATGCCATCAAGATTTGCATCCAAAAGACATAAACTATAAAATCAGACTAGGGAAAAATAAGCTCTTATTGATAGTGCTCATTGATATAAGACACTGAGGATCATGAAGGGCATGAAACTGGCTTTCAGCTATCAGATCAATAAGATATATTTCAGTAATTCAAAGTGAAATAGTGATAGAAAGAAAAATGTACACGAGTAATCTCCAACAGTCACGAACAAGTGAACTCGTCTGTAGGCTGGAAAACCAGCACCTGCTTGTACTTAAGTCTCATTATCTGATTGAATTTGGGAAAGTCCCTGAGCTAAAAGGTGTGGTCTCTTTCTCAGAGTGTGAGAAGAAATTCAGACATTCAAAAGAAACTTACTGTAATTGCCATGCGGAAATAAAGCAGATAGGCAGCAAGAAAACATTCCCAAGAGCACTATATACCAGGCTCTCTGGACAACATATCCATTTCACTCTGGGGTTTTCTGAACATGATGTCTCATCTGTTTCATCCATGTGAGTATGGTGACTGGTGTATATAACCAACATGCCCAAATTCAGTGAAAGTCTGGTGTTTGCATATGTCTCCACCTTTGTCACACAGCAAGATGTTCTGATGAAGAGTTAACCTGTCTTAGGGAAATAGATGGTAGAAAAGACAAGGAAGAAAATTAAAAAGGACAGAACTATCAAGTAAAATATGGCACACAGAGGTAGTGTTGACAGGTGATAGGAGTGAAGAGATATTGAGATTGGTGCTACTAAAAAAAATAAAATAGAAAAAATAGAACTAGCAGAACCTGGTACTTAGGCATACTCTTCTTGTTTTCTTTATTTTACTCGCCTTTCCTTGTTCTGCTGCTGTCTCTTGATTTTAGCTTCTGTCTCCTTTTTCCACTGTCTTTATGTTTTCTCCTATGGGTACCTCCCTCTTTTCAATCTCCATTTACTTAACTCCCTTACAAACATGCATGGTTCCACCTCTTCTCACCTTCTCCTTGTCCAGGAGTGATAAAACATGTTTCCTCAAGAAAATTGCAGACATTAAATGTCAATAAAGATATTTAATTAGAGTCATAAATTTGGGTTTAATAGTTACCCTTAAAAGCATTCGAGTTGAAAACTTAGACATTTTCATAAAGAATCAGTGTTTTGAATATACAGAAATCAAGGCTGTGTCTGACAGCATGTTTGACACAAAAGGATTTAAAAGGAATGGAATGACATATTGTGATGGGAAGATATTATTTATTTGAAGATTTCAGTCATAATATATTAATGAAAATAAGAATGACTGTTCTTAACAGTGATGATTACCTGGTTGACAACATGTTCAGGAGCTGTCCAACAGCACCATGGACAGTGACAAACAAGCTCCTGCACCAAAGTTCAGCTGTGGCTACCTTTCATCACTTCAAGCTCTTGACAGGAGCCTGGATGACTCAAGACATACTGAGCCTTTCACTTCTGTCATGGTCTATCCTCTAGCCTTTAATATATGAAACATTTTATTTGCACCAGAAGAATATTCTAAATTTATTCTTGGATCAGGATTACCTTCTGCTTGTAAAAATGCAGCATTTTTTTTTCCTTCTCACACTAACTCTTGAAGTTCCCTCTAAAATGTATCTAGTTATCTTCAGCTCACATTAATCTCCTACTCCCTGGTGAACCTCAGATTTCACCAGGAAAAAGTATATATGAGAATTACGTTGTTTTACAGAAACCTGAGCTTTCCTAACAGCTTTCAGTCAGGTAAAAGAGGTTTCTTAAAGTATCATCATTTCAGACCTTGAACAGTAATTGAATTGTGAGACAAGACTTCATATTTTCATATTTTAAAAGAAATCTTACAAGATGGAAGAAATTTGTTTAAAGTTAAATTTGTTTAAAAAGCACAGAGGGATCTTGTGTGGAATGCTCAAAATGACATAAAATGACATTCCAATCACATATCTAAATTGCCATTCTATCTGTGCTATTGTTTTTGGAGGTAAATGCAAAAGACCCTCTCCAATGCACTGACTCAGATACTCAGTCAGACTACTAGACAGTTCTAAAGCTGCCAGTTCAGAATCTCACACTATACAATAAAGCCATCTGAGTTTTGTTCCATCAGTTCAACCTACATCATTAAAAAAATGTTGAAAGTTCTTCTATCTTACCCTTGAAGAATTTTCAGCAAAGACTTATATTACTGTTTAGGAATTGAGTTCATATAAAGACAAAAACTCTTTACAGTGAAAATACTATTCTTATATTTAGCTCTTTGGGAATAAAAGCAACACTGACATATACAATATTGCTATCTTCTCCAAAAGACGTGATTTTAAAATCACTGTGTCATGCCACAAAACAGGCAAATGTTTTCTGTAACTCTTTTTTAATCTCACATTACAGAACACAGGATAAATCACTGAAGTGCTTTCCCCACATTACTTTGCATGTATACTGCTGTTCATTGAAAGATTAAGTACAAGTGGAACATCAAGAGGAGCAATCAAGAGTTGATTTTGTATGCTAGCAGCAAGCTTGAAAACAAAAAGCCTTTAAACAATCAGCAGTGATTTTCCTGTAGTTTGACTTACACTATATTGATTTGCATTTGCAGGCTGTGTATCTTCAATGCTGCATATTTTACTCTAAAATTCGAGGCTTGTCATATTTGATTGTCTATAGATTTGTAGATTATTACTCCACATCTACAGAATCTATAATTGTTATATCTGTGCTTTGAGTTTTTAGTGTTTACTTGTCAAATTAAAGCTTTATATTTACCTGAAGATCTATTTGTTAAGGATGTGACCATAATCTTGGATATAACCACCTAAATCAGGATTAAAAACCCAGACAACCAATATACTTGTGCTGGTTAGAAACAGTGAATTCAGCATGAATTTATTGTCTCCCAGGGGAAAAGGGCATCCTTAATGCCTATGAGTTTTCAGTAAAATTAAGTCATCATTTAAAAAGCACATTTCTATTTCAATTTGAAAAGACTTAGTTTTAAAGCTTAGTTTTCTCACATAGGTTGAGAACAAGTTGGAAAAAAACCCAACCAAAACAGATAATCATATAGACCCAAATAAATTCCTGCCCTGTAAACCATTATTCCTGTTTTAAGTTGTTTCTTGAGGGGTATTAGTTTGTTTCACAAAAGGATCAAAATCCTTATGTAAAGAAGCACTTGTGTATCGGATTTGTTTTTTTTTGCTTTTTTTATTGCACCAGATCAGACCCTTACAAATTCTTACTCACAGAATGAAAACACACTGACACATTATTTCTGAAAACAGACTTCTGAGGATCTACTCTAAATCCACAGATTCTTAGGTGCTCCTGGACCATGTCTGAAATCCATAAACCTGCACTTATATTGTTCCCATTAGCAACTAGATACATTAAATATTATTTTGGTATTTCATGGAAACAAAGGCTCATATCCATAAGCATTTTCTACTTTATCCATTGCATCCCTCTCTGGGACACTGTATCCTTATTTCAAATGTACTGATGCCTTTTTCTCAGGGAAATTCTGCAGAAAAAGAAGAGTCTGAACTTTTGAGACAAGAGTGTGTGGGAGACAAACTGGTCACATTCAATAGCTGCAGCAAAGTTATTTGTAGTCTAAAATCAGCCAGACGGGCTTAGATGTGCAAAGAAAAAAGTGTTTGCTGAGGTGTTATCACAGCAGTAAAATCACTATATATAGCTTGCACAGCCTGTGAATGAACAGTCTTGCAAAAAACCCACTCCCTAAAATGAAAAAAAAAAAAAAGAAATATTCACAGTAAATATCTAAGGAGTTCTTTCACCTTTTCTCGGGGGTGCTGTGTCTCCTTACTTGCTATTATTGGTGTTTTTATGAAATCTTGCATTTTTGGTTTATTGCAATTGAGAAAGTGAGTGAATCATGCTCTGAAACCATAAAGTTTCATATACTGTGAGTGGATAATAATTAACTTTAATTAAAAATTGTTCATATAGTACCTCATGAGTCAGCTTGTGCGTAATATGATGCCAAGTCATCATGTGCAGCGTTTAGCTCTTGAACTCCATTTTTCTCCTTTTGTAAAAAAAAAAATATGAGCCTTATGCCAGCTTCCCAAACCATGCAGAAATTTGAGAGCCCAACCTTGTTTTTTCTCCCCAAATCTATTGTGCAACATTGCCCATTTTTGGTGCTAACCTTTCCAATTGCTAAATTATGTTAAATAACATTCCTGTGGATAAAACAATGCTGGAAGTTCTTTAAATCATTCTTTACCAGCCCAGAGGATAGCAACTTTATTAACTATAGTAAGTATCATGTTTTACTCACTGACTCTAAAAGGACGCACTTCCAAAGTGGAAAGAAACATGACAAACCCTGTACCCATTGGCAGACCCAATTTTAGTACATGTCTTTCAAAACTATCATAGTGTCAGACAAAAATGTCTCACCTAAATTTTTTTCATCACAAGATGCTTCATTTCCAAATGAATATCTGTTCTGTATTTTCTGAAAGCCAAATATGTACAATATACAGGTGTAGTCATAGAGTGAGCTGAACAAGTTACATTTTTGTAAGCTTCATGTTAAAACATTCACAACCTATCATTATATACATTATCTGAGGTGTAATTATCTTTTATGACCTTTTCAGTGTATTCCTGTTATATCTTTTAATACAGAACAATTACTGTTAATTAATGGTTGCTGATGCAACAGGGAAGCCATGTTAGATTGCAAGTATCAATGCAAGGAACTTTGTTACTTTAAGCACAGATCCAGATGAGTCATTAAAAAGTTCCAGAGAATAAAAAGGCAATAAGCAGGAATTTCTACATAGAATGGTGTAGTACTCAGGAAGCTACACTACTAATGATCCATGTTATCCTTAAATTCTCTGACTGCATGAATCATTTTACTCAGAAACAGCAAGGGAAAAATTGCACTTCACTTTTTTGAAATGGCTCTATGGCAACTGAGCAGGGAAGTATTTGTGTTAATTCTTCTACTGAATTTACTATTGAGAACCACAAGAGTTATTTCATCATCCTTTCAATGTTCTTAATCTCATTAGAATTGCCTAAGAAGCTGCATGATGGAACAGTTTGAAAGTGAATTTGTTCTCCCTACACAGAACATACGTGACTGAGATGGGTTATTTTAATTTATAAAAGAAAATCAGTAATTTGGAGGTAAAAGCAGCGGTATTCTCTCTGCTTAAGCATCTCAGAACAACAGCAATACAATTCTTACTGTGAATTCTTTATGCACTGCTATTTTGAGATTCGAAGAGTTGCAGTACATTTTTTTTTTGTGACAGCTTAGTTCACAGTATTATATCTTGCCACAGAAATTTAGGACCTGAGCCAAAATGGAGGCAGTGGAAACGTTCCCATTGACGTCAGTGAGCCTTGGATAAGGCCCCAGACGGCTAAGGACTAGGATTGTCAACTTACAATTAATGTAATTAATGCATCTACACTGGCCCTAGGGCAGCCCAGGCATAAAATTCCTCTTCTGCTGTTAGAATTTAGCATCTTTTACTAGAAACTTTGAGAAAACACAAGTTAAAAAGGGAAGAAAAAAAAAAGGGGGTGGGGAGAGGGAGAAGATAAAGGAGGAAAGCATCTACAGGTTTTTGAAGGTAAACCAGAAGCTTATACTCAAACCTCTGTATAAGCTGTTAATTGTTGATCTCTAATACAACAGACTAATAATATTCAGCAATACAATGCCAGTAGATACAAACAGAGTTTCCATTCACAGTTCAAGGCTGTTGCCTTTACGGGTCCGAAACCTTTCTCAATTAAACTAAGGTGTCTAAAAAGAAAGGATGAGTCTGACTCTAGTGACTGAAATACAGTGATGACAATAAAATAAACATTTCAGTTTGTAAAAGTTGTTTCTGATATTTTGATGTGTTTATGACTAGTATTTTTGAGGGGTTGAAACAGGTAACTAATGCAGTGTGTCTTACAGAGGATCACTAGCTAATATTGCAGGCAACAGCTTCAGTAAAATTAACAAAGTGAACAGTGACAAAACTTATTATACTATTTCCTTATTGTTTTTATATTCTAAGCCTTTCTCTTTTTATATAGTAACATGTTTTGCCTCTCTATTTCATAATCTGAGCTTCCACTTATTTCTCTTTGTAATGTTTTATATCACTTATGTTTAATTCTGAAAAAAAAGCACTTATTTTTCAGTTAATTAAATATATCTTTGTGGGAAAGACACATTGCTTCAATGGGTTGCAACTCATAAGTACCTAGTACCCATACTGAGATCAATCACAGTTACATGTCACAAGAATGTAATGTATGATTAAAGCTGAATGATTAGTTCATAGGTTCATTTCAATGAAATTTTCCAAATACTAATGATAGGGTCTCATATTCTAGTACTTCCTCAAACACTTATGAAATTTAAAAAACCCCAACTCATTAGTAAATATCAAAGCCATAGTAGGAAAGTTGATGTGATAAAAGCATTTAATCAGATGTTCACATAAACAAGCTAATGAACATCTGAACCATTTTCATGATTGCAACAACTTTTAGTTTGAAGGAACATGTGCCTTCTGTACATTAATTACTCATTTAATATAGAAGGTAATTTTATTTTACTGTGTTGCACAGAAAATAATACTGGTAGTAATATCCATTTCAAAGAAATAGTTGGTTTTGTAAAGTCTTTACTAACCCTGTGGAGACTAACAACACTTTCAGGAAATGTTTTAGGCTCCTGAGGAATTTGAGAAGCATCTGCTTCAATGAAAATATTTTCCTTCTGAAATGCTGAACATTTAGCACTTACTCATCGGCATTTCATAGCTGTAAAAGAGAGTGCATGATAAAAATCAGTCTGAACTTGGGAAAAATAGTTTGACTTATTGTTCTTGACTACAGAAAATTAGAGTGCAAATATAGCAAAAAAAGTGCATGTTGCAAAATGGGATAGTGTTAGAATTAGGACACTTAGGAGTACATCACTGCATACCCATTCCAGTAGTAAAGGACATTATGTATGTCACTAAATTCATCCACAATGTCTTTGACAACATAATGGGAGAAATAGAGTTACTTTTGTCATTTTGTCTGTGGATGATTCAGCCAACTAGCTTCCAACACTACCAGCAAAACCAGTTGGAATTAATAACTTTTGAAAGAAAAGTGATTTCCTGAATTTAGGTATAGTTTTAGCGAATTCAAAGTTTAAAAAAATAAGGGGGGAAGGAAAAAAAAAAAAAATAAGCCAAGTAGGTAGGTGAGTTTAAAATATTTTTTTATTTGACATTTTCAAAAGGAAATATTTGAACTTCAGTATGTTTTTATTTCTAAACAGTTTTTAACTTCTGAGGTATATTAGAAATTATCAAAATAAAAGCAAATATTCCCACTCTATCTGAAAAAGATGCCCATCTATAACTGTAACCTTTCCTTCTTCACCATGCAACATTTCTGGACCAGCCACTGAACCAAAACAGCTGTCATCAGATCATCCCTTCAGTTTCTCTGGGGACTATTATCCAGGAGTGGTATGATCACACCCCCACTATCTGAACTAGGCTGAAATACCAAGGTAGGGATACAGCCACTCATAAAACAAGGAGCTGTCTATCTTTTAAGAAAAATAGCTGGATGTTTCTCTGAAGTGTTTATAATAGCACAAGCGAAGACAGAGTGTGTTCACTTTGCTGTATTCATCCTTCTCATTGTCTCCCAGTTTTGTCTCTCTACTGGGCTGATAGGTGATTTTGCAATGTGAAAGGCACAATACTTTTCAAATATGATGGAAGAATTAAAAAAAAAGCCCAAAAACCAAAACCAAAACAATTGAACAAAACAAAACCAAACCAAAATAAAACAAAATAAACCCAAAGTATTTCTAGAAGTATGGATATTAAGAACCAAGTGTGCTCTTTTACTGTCTGATATCCAGCTGAAAAACCCCTCTATGTGAGTTTATAAAAGTGTTAATATATGGACACATTTTGGGAAACCAAGAAAAGCTAGAATGCATGTAGAAAACAGCAAAGCAGTTTTAAATATCTAAGGGACACAAGCAATATATTTTGCATGATGATGACTGCACTGACACCTTAGAGCAATTTAGAAAATTACTGCCTATTTAATTATTTTGAGAGAAGTTTCTTTGGTTTGGTTTTTTGTTTTTTTTTTTTTGGTAATGTTGAATTAATCTTATGAAATTTTATTTATGTATATAAAAAACGACTAAATGGCTCACTGATGAAAATGAGTGGTTCACTACTTCCAATAGAGTGAAGAAGATATTAAAGAAAATGCATTAATACATTAACAATGTAATTTTAAGCTCCTTACGAAAAGGGCAAAAGAGAGAGAAAATTTCTGCAGCTGGAGAATGGGAATACCAATGGCCCTCTTCCAACTAATACTACTGCATCAATCAGGAAAGAAAAGGGATCTCCTCTCAAATACAACAGTTAGGAAACCTGAAAAAGGATGAAGCATCTCCCCAAACAGAAACTGAAGCACAGTATTTCTCAGCAATAATATCTATTCAATGATCTGAGACAGGATTTATCAAGGACCTACTTCCCACCTGAAGAATGAATCTGGTGAAGAGAAACATGTTCAATCAAATGTCTTCTTTTGGGCTACTAGCCATTGACTCAGCCCCTGTTCATATGAGTGCAGTGGTTAGGTATCTCAGAAATATTGTATGTTCCATAGCCAGAGTGTAAAATCAGTAAAAGAAGAGTAATTAAAAAGCTTTTAGAAACATGGATCATGCCAATTTATTTAGAATCTTTGTCTTGCTTTCTTTGCTTTTTTCAAAATAGAATTTTAACTTCCACCATTAAAAACAAAAATATAAAAAGGGTCCTCCTAAACTTCTCATTACCAAAATATCAGGTTATGTACAGGTATTTTAGCATATACAACAAGCATTTTGCTGATTACTTTTAAATGTCTTGAGCATATTTTTTGCTGCAGACATGACTGACTTCAGCATTGATTGTCTGATTGTACTTGTTTTCAGAGTGAAACTGCTGTTTAGCAGCTCTAAATTCCCTTTAAAAAGGGATTCAGAAGAGATTTCCATAAAGCTACTTTAATTCCATTCACTCTCATTACTAGACACTTCCCATAATCTATCTGACAGTGTCCTTGCATTCTGTTACCATTCTTAACAGGTGAAATAATTATAAAACCTGGATGTTCAAACTGATCTGAACCCTGTTGTTAAGGTCAGCTGAAAATAGAGGAAATCAATAAAAAACAAATGAAGAAGACATGGATTTTGCCTAATTGGCTCATGTTTTCGCAGTATGCGGTAGCATGTTCTTGAAAATGAAAAACTCAAACAGTTACAAATGGTTTCTTTTTCTGGTGTAAAAAAAACCAAAAAAACCTGGCTCCATAGTAACATTAAAAAAAAAACCAAAACAAGCAAGACAGAGCTGAAGGAGATTAGGCAGAAGAAAACATTATATTTTCTTGGGAAAAAAGTTATTATATTGTATTTGATATTTCATGCTCAGTGAAAGAGTGATTGTAGCAAATTCCTCAGAATTAAATTAACTGAGTTCCGTGAACTGACTGCTACAGATGAGAGAATCTGACACTTACTAATATATGAAACGGGAGTAGTCATTAAGATATGTAAGGATTTGAGTTCAGAACTCCAGGAGAAGAAACAATAGGAGTGCATCACACCTCAGTCAATGACTTTGGATGTGTTATTGTGCTTTAGTTTCTTTAGCAAAGGGCACTAAAGCCCTGAGAGGCAATACATTTTTATACACTTAGTAATTATGTGGGATTTTGCAGGTTTTTCAATTATTATTTTTCATTAATAAAGTGGAGAAGCCCACTTATATTGTCAAATCTTCAACACCTTTAGAGACTTCACTTTGTTGGCTACTAAACCTTGACCACTTGAACTGGGATTTTTGTCTTTTCTCCTTTGCTCTCATGCATGACATTATGATATCACTGACCAAAAATTTGGACCCATCTGCAAAAGGACATTTAGTAAAGTTAAAATGAACTAATTGAAGGTGTTAACTGAGCTGCATCATCCAATTCTTGCACTGCTGTTTGTTCACACACAGGTTTATTTGACTAAAATAACTCTAGGGCATGCTTCTGAAAAGGAATGTCCATTCAGATGTAACACGCTGCAGTCCAACTTCACACCTTCGGCTAATTCTTCCTAATTTCCCCAGTGTCTCTGTTTGGAAAAATATCCTGGGGGCACACTAATCCTTGAATCAGCTACACAATCTCTGTAATACAAAATTGGCTACATGCCTGGAACTTCTGGTCTCTGATTTTCTCTTTCATCCAGCATTTTTTCTTCTTATATTCCAGACAAGTAAAGTCCAGATGTTTTCTGCTGTTTAAGAAAGCAAACACAGGGCCACCTTTAGGCATTCAGCCCTTTATTTACAAAAGCCCTATTAAATTTGGTGTATTTCATTTGACAATCATAGATACTTTTTGTCTTTGATTTGCTTTTCAAATAGTAATTATTGTTTAGTACCTTAGGGCTTCCCAGTTCTTGCATACCTTTAAATGGAATAGGGCACTGAATTACCACATTCTCCATCAGTGATTTGTATTTCTAGAGCATGCAGGGCTTGAAACAGTTAAACTGCTTACCCAGCTAGTCAAACTATTTGTTCTACAAATATAGGTACAGATCTCTATTACAATAAATACTGGGTCCAAGTAATTATTTTTTCTAAAAGTTACTGCTCCCTATAGTAATTTATCAATTATATATTTTAAAACAAGGAACTCTCAGAAAAAAAAAAATTAAAACTGACTTTAATACTTGTACAGCATTATAGTCACTTCTTAACTCTCCAACCCAGCCTTCTTCATATTTCTCTGGATGCATATAAATTTCTTGAGACATTTCTTGAATAAATACTTTTACCTATCACTCCAACTTATTTTTAACCCAGCTCTATATTTCTCAGTGAAAAATAGTAGCTTTTTTGATCCTACAGGGCATATTTATTAAATAGGAAGAAAGAAATTCTACTACCAAGTATGCCAATGCCACCATTTCATGCATCCTTTCTCTGCACAGTTTTTCTCCTTGCCCATTTGTGTATTAACAAACAACACTTAGGGAAACTAGTTTATTATCAATATTTTAAAATTTGTCTTGAATATAATTTTGTTTCACACTTCCTTCCTTTCCTTTCCTTCCTTCCTTTCCTTCCTTCCTTCCTCTCCCAGCTCCCTCGAGCACAGCTCTGACACAGACAGCACAGCCATCGTCACTTTGCTACTGCACTTTTTGGTACCATTTTAGACAACTCTGCAACTTCTCTCTCTACTTGTGTGCCACCATTCCAGCTCGATATAAGTACAAATGCCTGCACAGGAAAAAGAAAGGGTCTCCTGTTTCTGGGAAGTAAGAGACTTATAACACATACATTACTACCCTGGTGACATTACTTGTTATGTACTTATTTCACATATTCTGATACTTTATCTCTGAGAAGAATACCAGAAAATTATCATTGGTCATGTAATTAACTGAAATTTGAAGTAGGAATCAGCAGAGCAAAAAAAAAAAAAAAAGGTTGAACAAATGAACAGACAATTTCAATTTGAGGAACGTTTTATTTTCTTCCTCTTCACAAAAGAGCAAAAAAAAAAAATATATATATATATATATATATATAAATATATTCGTTATAATTTTTAGACAACATTCAGCCATCCTATAT